GCGAAACTTTTTTGTGGATTTTTATGGACCAAAAGGAACCCAATAGGCCAGAGCAGCACCTGGGGGTGCCTCGAGGTGGGCACAACCCACCAGGCCGCGCCAGGCCCCCCTGGCGTGCCCAGGTGGGTTGTGCCCACCTCAGTGGCCTCCCGCACCCCTTCTTTGCACTATAAATTCCCAAATATTCCGAAACCCTTCGGGGTTACCCTAGATCAGAAGTTCCGCTGCCGCAAGGCTCTATATCCGCGAAAACCACTCTAGACCCCATTCTAGCACCCTGTCGGAGGGGGGAATCATCTCCGGTGGCCATCTTCTATATCCGCGAAAACCAATCTAGACCCCATTCCAGCACCCTGTCGGAGGGGGGAATCATCTCCGGTGGCCATCTTCATCATCCCGGAGGCCACCACGATGAGGAGGGAGTAGTCCCCCCTCGGGGCTGAGGATTTGTACTAGTAGCTATGTGTTTAATCTCTCTCTCTCTCTCTCTCTCGTGATCTATATCATGGGCTTTGTTAATATAGTCATATCATATGGTGTTTTCCCCTCTCTATCTTGTTGTGATGAATTGAGTTTTTCCCTTTGAGATTTCGTTGTTATCGGATTGAATACTTTTATGGATTTGAGAACACTTGATATGTGTGTTGCAATTGAATACTCATGGTGACAATGTGGTATCGTATTGATTCAGTTGATATATGTTTTGGCACTCAACTCGCGGATTCCCGAGGTGACATTGGGGTAATCTATGCATAGGGGTTGATGCACATTCTTGTCTTTAGTTTCCCCGGTAGAAATCTTGGGGCACTCTTTGAAGTTATTTGTGTTGGATTGAGTATTATGAATATGAATTTTCTTTGGTGTTATTTTAGTACGAACTCTAGGATAGATCGAATGGAAAGAATAGCTTTGTGTTATTTTAGTACAAACTCTTGAATAGATCGAACGGAAAGAATAGCTTTGAGGTGGTTTCGTACCCTACAAACAATTTATTCTTATGTTCTCCGCTAGATAGGAACTTCGGAGTGATTCTTCATCGCACTTTGAGGGATGGTTATATGATCCAATCATATTAGCACTATTGAGAGATTGTACTAGCGAAAGTATGGACCCTAGGCCTTGTTTTTAAGCATTGCAATACCGTTTTTGTGCCCATTTACTATTTGTTACCTTGCTGTTTTTATTTATTCAGATTATAAAAATATATTTCTACCATTAATATTACACTTTTATCACCATCTCTTTGCCGAACTAGTGCACCTATACAATTTGCCATTGTATTGGGTGTGTTGGGGACACAAAAGATTTCTTGTATTTGGTTGCAGGGTTGTTTGAGGGAGACAATCTTCATCCTACACCTCCCACGGATTGATAAACCTTAGGTCATCCGCTTGAGGGAAAATTGCTACTGTCCTATAAAACTCTGCGCTTGGAGGCCCAACACGTGTCTACAAGAATAAAGTTGCATAGTAGACATAAGTCACATGGCGATGTGAACTATGGTTGTTAATCACATGATGACGTGACCTATTGGTGTTTAATCACATGGCGATGTGAGCTAGATTATTGACTCTAGTGCAAGTGGGAGACTGAAGGAAATATGCCCTAGAGGCAATAATAAAGTGTTATTTGATATTTCCTTATTCATGATAAATGCTTATTATTCATGCTAGAATTGTATTGATCGAAAACCTGAATACATGTGTGAATACATAGACAAAGACTGTGTCCCTAGTGAGCCTCTACTTGACTAGCTCGTTGATAAAAGATGGTTAAAGTTTCCTAACCATGGACATGAGTTGTCATTTGATAACGGGATCACATCATTAGGAGAATGATGTGATGGACAAGAACCGTTCGTTAGCTTAGCATTATGATTGCTTAGTTTTATTGCTATTGCTTTCTTCATGTCAAATACATATTCCTTGGACTATGAGATTATGCAACTCCCGGATACCGAAGGAATACCTTTTGTGCTATCAAACGTCACAACGTAACTGGATGATTATAAAGATGCTCTATAGGTATATCCGAAGGTGTTTGTTGAGTTGGCATATATCAAGATTAGGATTTGTCACTCCGAGTTTTGGAGAGGTATCTCTGGGCCCTTTCGGTGATTCACAACATAAGAAGCCTTGCAAGCAAAGTGACTAATGAGTTAGTTACAGGATGATGTATTACGGAATGAGTAAAGAGACTTGCCGGTAATGAGATTGAACTAGGTATGAAGATACCAACGATCGAATCTCGGGCAAGTAACATACCGATAGACAAAGGGAATCACGTATGTTGTCATAAGGTTCGACCGATAAATATTCTCGTAGAATATGTAGGAGCCAATGTGGGCATCCAGGTTCCGCTATTGGTTATTGACTAGAGAGGTGTCTCGGTCATGTCTACATAGTTGTCGAACCCGTAGGGTCCGCACGCTTAACGTTCGTTGACGATATAGTATTATATGAGTTTTGTATGTTGGTGACCGAATATTTTTCGGAGTCCCGGATGTGATCACGAACATGACGAGGAGCTCCGGAATGGTCCGGAGGTAAAGATTGATATATGGATAATAGTGTTCGGTCTCCAGAAGGGTTCCAGAATTCACTGGATGGGGTTCCGGATGTTTCTCGAAATGTTTGGGTACGAGAACACTTTATTTGGGCCAAAGGGGAAAGCCCACGAGGTTTTTGGAAAGCACAAAAAGAAGTTTTGCGGAGTCCAGGGGCCAGACGCCAGGGTCCCTTGCGTCTTGGTCCAGATGTCGGGAACCCTGGCGTCTGGTCCTGGAGTCCGAGAAGGACTCTTGCCTTTCGGGTAAAACCGACTTTGAGGAGGCTTTTACTCCAAGTTTCGACCCCAATGCTCAACATATAAATAGAGGGGCAGGGCTAGCACCCAAGACACATCAAGAATCACCAAGTCGTGTGCTGGCAACCCCGTCCCCTCTAGTTTATCCTTCGTCATAGTTTCCATTGTGCTTGGCGAAGCCCTGCGGAGATTGTTCTTTACCAACATCGTCACCACGCCGTCGTGCTGCCGGAACTCATCTACTACTTCACCCTATATTGCTAGATCAAGAGGGCGAGGACGTCATCGAGCTGAACGTGTGCAGAAGACAGAGGTGCCGTACGTTCGATACTTGATCGGGACGGATCGTGAAGGTGTACGACTACATTAACCGCGTTGATAAATGCTTCCGCTTTGTGATCTTCAAGGGTATGAAGATGCTCTCCCCTCTCGTAGCTATGCATCTCCACGGATAGATCTTGCGTGTGCGTAGATTTTTTTTTGTTTTCCATGCAACATTTCCGAACAGATCAGCCGCTCTACAACGACATGAATTCGAGGAGTTGGCATCGGGCGGGAACACACATGGGCGAGGGAGGACGGTTTTGGGTGCGCAAGGGTAGTCAGAAGCGGACTTTGGTGCTGTCAGGACACCCGCAAAACCTCCACGTTTGTCTCACGTTTGCCGGAGGAAGTGCTTCCAAACCGCCATGTGGACCCATGCAGGACCGCATTGGATGTCACAACACGTCCAGACCGCGCGATTCAGACGTACGCGGACGGTTTGTGGGTCGCCGTTGGAGATGTCCTAATGGCGCAGCTGCCCCCAAAAAAGTTTTTTAGGGCATTTGGATCGAAAAATGACGCTGCTATAGATGGGATACCCTATCTCGAGTAAATTGCTCAAAACCATCACATTTTTGCTAGGATAACAGACTGCCACAACTTTTATCAAAAATAAAAAATCACCACCACTTCTGCGACAAGTGAGTAATAAATGCCACTGATTCGCAGCCGCGTCCAACAGCAAAACTGATAGGTTTGGCCCACACACGAGGGTGACATGGCAGGCCTATGTGGATAAAATGTTGAGATGGCCATGGGTCCCACATGTCATCCCCACCGTTTTCTTCCCTACTCTTCCTACCTTATCTCTCTTGTCTGCCTCCTGGCCACGTCGTGCCGCTATCCCCTTCTGGTCCGCAATTGCACCCTTTTCTGATCGCCGCCCGCCTCCTGACGCCGTGCGCCGCCCCTCCTGGTGTGCCGCTTGCCTCCAAACTAGGTCAGCGATGCCTGCCTCTAGCTCTGTCTCCACCTGCGTGCTCTGAGGCTTCACCGTGCGTGCTCACGCGTCCGACCCTACTAGTTTGGAGCTGCTTCTCCCGTGCTCTATCTTGTGCCACTGGAACCCTACCTCCCCGACCCCTTCATCTCCCTTGTAGAGCCAAGGCGTTGGACCTCACCGACGCACGTCCGCGTGCCTTGCTACAGCCTCTGCTCTGCTGTGGTCGAATAGGGCCCCATGGCCACCACTCATTGCGTGGCGGCGAAAGGTGCATTGTGGGCCGGTCGCTCGGATCCGGTGGTGAAGCGGCGACGGTGGCGGTGCAAGGTGTGTTGGCTAGTCGGGTGCTGGTCATGGGATGGGCGAAGAGAGGATGAAGGAGAAGAGAGAAGATAAGGAGGTAGGAGGCTGACAAGTGGGACCCATGTAAAGGACATCAAATTGTACATGTAGGCATTCCATGTCGGCCCAACAAGCGGGTCCCATCAGTTTTGCTGCTTGCACGACCTAATCTGTGTAGTGTTATTCGTTACTCACTTGTCGCAAAAGTGGTGGTGATTTGTGATTTTTAGCAAAAGCGATGGGCAACTTGTTATCCCAGCCACAGATGTGAATTTTAAGCAATTTACTCCCCTATCTCTATCATGTGTTGTTTGATCTTTTGTATCTACACGAATCCAATGATCAAATCGGACAATTTTTCATGTTAAGCTAGAAATTGTACAATATCTAGAATCGAATAAGTAATCAGACAACTAGCGTTGTAGTGCATACGGCAATGCACTTATTGTAATGATCTCAATATCTTACTATACTGCATAGCTCTTGGCTGAAAGAATTACAACCAGACATCACGGTATCAACAGGCTATAATAAAATAAAAACCAACGTTCTAAATTAGAGTATCTTTTTTACACCCGCAAAATAACTATCCCTTCGTAGTAGTGCCGCTGGCAGTCTCCGTAACAAAACACCGGGATGGACCCCCTCCGATCTTGGCCTTGCAGATAATCACCTTGTCCAGGCATCCGTTGATGTAACACCCGTCGCCCCCGGGGCTCCTCACCGTCACGTCCACCACCACCTGGCCCCTCTCCAGCTCGCCGGCCAGCCGGTCCCGCAGGAAGTGAGGCAGGTGCACGTCCATGCCCCACGCCGTGGCGGCGACCTCGCACACCCCTAATTTCTCGGCGCAGAACGACGGCACGCTGCCCCTGCCGAGCAGCACGTCCCCGTACGACACGACCGCGAAGGAGTCCACGCCGACGCACGCCCGGAGGACCTTCTCGCGGGTGTTGTCGACGTGCACGGTGATGCCGAACACCGGGCTGAGCGCCGGCCGGTCGCCGTGGAGATCCCGGGCCGGGTCCAGGCCGTCGACGCTGGTGATGGCCACGGTGTACTCGGGGCCTCGTGACGACACCATTGGCCACAGAATAAGAAATAGTACCGCTGCCGTGCAACCGAAAAACAGCACAAAGAATCCGACAAGCTTCATGAACGACGACCACGAGCAGTGGCATTCGCCTTGTGCCATGGCGTCGAGGAACAATGACGAGGATTTGATCGATATATAATATGCCGTGTTTGGTAAGTCGTTGGGGAACTATATAAGTACTGGAGAGGAGGGGCCTCTTTGTTTTGCGTTACCGACGGAAGGATCCGTGCTGTAGCCGGACACGGCTTGCGTGGCTGAATCGTGTGGCGGCGCGCCATCGCCCGGCATTGGTCTTCGGCTCGCGGGCGCTCCTCCGCGAATACTAATAATCGATCCGGATGCAGGCGTCCAGTACCTCTTGTTGTTCCCGAAAGATGGAGGGGGGCAGATTTCACTAAGGAAAGGAAACTCAAGATCGGAATAATTATGCTCACCTTTCCTTGGAGTCGTCATCAAGGCATAATTATGACGTCCGATGGTGCCACTTTTATCCTTGGGGTCGTCATCAAGGCATTGTGCTCACCTTCTAGTGACATCGGTACACTCCATGGGAAACCTCATATCCCCTCGGGATGGACGATGGTAGCATTTTTGCATCATGTTTCCCGCTTGGAGGGCATCGTTCTTGGAATGGATGCTGGTTAGAGGGAGCAGTGGATGCATGAGGTTGGTGGAGGCAACAATCATGGCGATGGCATGTGGTGATGGTGTTAGGGCTTCTACAACAACGGTGACAAGGGTGAGCGATATCAGAGGCACGACAATGGTTGCGATAGGCTGCTCTTCTCTCGTGTGTTTGTGGGTTTGCCCGAGGTGGTTTGTTGCTATGAAACCAGAGCTGCATTAGTGGTGTTTGGGTGGCAACGATGATAGGTGGTAGCTGGTCTCTTTGACGACTTTCCATGGCGCCAGACTTGCATAATTACACTTCATAGCTCTCCATAAGAGTCGTAGTTGTGTTGTCCCGTCTCAGGTAGCTAAGTGATTGGCATGGATCTTCATGTGGCTTTCCACAACCTCTATGATGTAGGTTGGGTCGAAGGTCGTCTACAGCAAAATTAGAGTCATCTGCTCGAGGAGAAGGAATGATGATAATGTGTGATCAAGAAGAGGTGATGACGATGACGCTTATGTGCTACCTCGATGAGTATTTATTTGCATTGGTGTATGTATGCTGTCTTATGGGTGCCGCTTAATGGGTTGTGATGGTTTTCACAGGGGGTGGATTAAGCTTGTGCTCGTTAGTGTTCGGCTCATTAAGCTCGTGCTCATTAAGGTTCAGCTCATTAAGCTCATCAAGACTAATGAGCAGAAAACCTTGTTCGCTGTTTGCTTAAAGATCGTTAAGCTCATGAGCGCTCACGAGCACTTGTTAATAGACTATGATGTGTTACGACCTGCAAGATGAGAGCTTGAGTGTAATTTTACGAAGGGATATGGTGACTTTAGAAGGAGGTGCGCTATTTTAGTGCCTCCTATGGGTTGGGATGAGTCAACTAGATTGAGTAGATGGGTTGAGGTGCCATGAAATATTGTCACGTATGATAGAAACATATGTTGTACTATACTAACAAGCTTAAAGAGTTGCTCGTGAAATTCTTTACCTCGTTTATTGAGATCATTAACATTAACAAGCTAAAATCAGTGAATTGACTCTATTCATTAAGAAGTGAGCTACGAACTTAATGAGTTGAGCTATCAAGCGCTCATTAAGCTCACGAGCTAGGAGCTTTTGGTCCAACCTCTTGGCCCGAGTTTTCGTAAATTAACTAGAAAACTCTATTATTCTTAATTAATGGACAGGATAAATCTTTTGCCTCTATTTTAGGGGGAAATGTAATTTCTTTTTTCTTTCTCCTATATTTCTTTCCTTTATAATCTTTTATCTATAACATTTTGCTGTTGTTTCCTAGTTTCACGTCTGTAGCTTTTATGTTTTTCCATGTACATAACTAGATGATACCCCACGCGTTGCTGCGAGAATTGTTTGCAATATATTTCAGTGACATTTGATGACATGAACATGAGTATTCAGATTAATAAGAGAAATTACATACTATTGTTATATAATCATGCAATATTCATTGAATATAATGAGAACAATATAATTAAAACATCCGAGCCTTTTTGCATGCATGGTTGCATGTTGCGGTGGGGCTTTTCCCATTCATAATTGGTACTTGAGATAAATATGTTAGTGGTGATCAACTACTCAGGTATATATCATACATTGATATCACTTTACAAGAAGATTAGTTAATGTATTTTTCCACGGTTCCATATAATTTATTCTATGATTAGTTTTTTAACTTTCACTTTTTAAGTGCCCGTGCGTTGCAACGGGGGCAACTTTATTCTTCTAGTTCAACATTAGTTGTGTCTAACATACACCTATAGGGCACATCAAACGACATTCTTTAACAAGTTGCTAATATACATGAATTTAAGAATTTTCCAAAATCTATAGAATTTTATATCTTGTTGCGACAAACAAGGTGGGCGTTGCTCTTTCTTTATCTCACTTTTGCAGGGCCATGGAGTATCTGCTCGAGCTCATATGAGCTTGGATGAATAGTAAAATCTTTAAAATTCAATAAAAGTTGGATTTTTTGTAGCAAATATTTTCAATGCTTGCAAAATGACACCCGTGGAAGTCGTGGACAAAATTGATGCTCCAAAAATGTTATTTTTGAAAGCATTTTGGAGTTCCAGTTTTGCAGTTGCATCCGTGATTCTTTGAAATTTTTCTTTGGAGTCATGAATACGGACATCACATATATTGTGCCGCCTTGAGAAACATCCTTTAGTAGTACGTCCTTCCCCGCAATTGAGAGTAATTTCTCCTTCCAACCTTGAATAATTTGCAACACTCTATCTGCCAAATATTGAGCAACCATGCTTAATTGTTGTTTTGAATAATTTAATGTTTTATTTTAGAAGGAATAATTTTCTCTTATGGGAGAATTTTTGCTCATCGGGCTAGTCTTGCTGCCCCCCTCTAAGGCCTCATATTTCATTGGCCGAACTTAACACACTATCATCATGATTCTCGAATCTCAGGCTTAGTTGCCTAGATTTGTCACTGATCATCACCTACCATAATGCCAAATATAACTCTATTATTTGCAATGTTGGTGATACTCTCACTATAAAAGGAGAAGAATGTGAAATATGCTAACATTCTTGCTTTTCTGTTTGCAAACACTCAACCTTCTTACGAAACTAGTCCATTTCTTCTCTACCCTTTCTTCCTCTAACTTCTTTATCACGTCTCACAAATGTGGCGAACTACATACGGATGTATTAACATGGAGAACTTTGCGTCAACAAGCGTCCAGATATAGAGGAAATAGAGTAGAGAAAGATTATCACATCTATAAAGAGGTTAGGGTGAGGTGACGAACAAGTGATAGATGATGCCAGTTGAAATGTAGTGGACATGGCGGGTGGGGCCTGAATTATCCCGAGGAAGGAAAAAGTGATGGTTATGACATTGCAAAGAGAAAAGAGAAATGGATAAACAAGGGGATGAAGAACTGAAATATTGTTCAATGAGCATGTTCCTATATATTGTTGTAGAAAATCAGAAAATACATTGGCATCTTCAAACTTATTACATCATCCGACTCCCAAGTCTGCAAATGCTTAAATTAGACGCATCGAAAGCTTTCTATTTGGTCTAGTGGCCGTTTTTTATTGAGGTCATGCAAAGGTTGGGCCTTGGACACTGGTGGATTGCATGGATAAGTGGACACCTTGCCAGCTCATCAACGTAGATAATGGCGAATGGCACCCCTGGGAAACCGATTTATAGTTGTCGTGGACTTCGCGAGGGTGACCCACTATCCTCCATGTTGTTTATATTGATTACGAAACCATTACAAAAGCTTTTTGAGCGGGCATCTTTGAGTGCATCCTTTCCCCCTTGACAAGCACGGTATGCAACAAAGACTGTCCATCTTTGCTGATGACGTGACAATATTTTTGAAGCCAATTATGATGGATTTGAGAGGCTGCTCTTCGATCTTGGCGGCCTTTGGGATGGCCTTGGGGCTGCAAGTGAATCTGTGGAAAAGTGCAGCCATTCCCATTAGGTGCTCTCCGGACCAAATTCTGATGGTCAGTAACATGCTATGTTGCTCGATTGAGAGATTTCCTTGCAAGTATCTTGGATTTCCGTTAACCATTAGGAAATCGTCAATTGCACAACTTCAAGGCCTGATGGATCAACTAGCAAACTGCCTTCAGAGTTGGCGGGCGCCAGCACTAGAGTGGGAGATTTTTGCTCATTCAGTCAGTTTTGTGCGTAATGCCAATGATGGCTTTGTACCTACCTATGGAAATGGTGGGTGCCCTAAATAAAACAATAAAAAGGTTTCCTTTGGTAAGGCAAAGCGGAGGCAAACAAGGGTAAATGTGCGGTCGCTTGGGATGTCGTGTGTGCGCCTAAATGGGCAGGTGGGGGCTACCTCACCAAGACACTTGCCCTTTTTGTAACTAGAAGGATGATAACATCAACCACATTTTACTACACTGTGTTTTCTTGAGAATTGTTTGATTCCAGATATGTGTAGCTTTGGGAATGCCGCAATGGACGCCCATGATACGTCTCCAACGTATCTATAATTTTTCATTGTTCCATGCTATTATATTATCTGTTTTGGATGTTTTATATGCATTAATATGTTATTTTATATGATTTTTGGGACTAACCTATTAACCTAGAGCCCAGTGCCAGTTTCTGTTTTTTCCTTGTTTTAGAGTTTTGCAGAAAACAAATACCAAACGGAGTCCAAACGGAATAAAACTTTCGTGATGATTTTTCTTGGACTAGAAGACATCCAGAGGGCTTGGAGTGCACGTCAGGAAAGCCACGAGGCGGCCACAAGGTCGGAGGGCGTGCCTAGGGGGTAGGGCATTACCCCCACCCTTGTGGGGCCCTTGTGGGGCTTGGAGTGCACGTCAGGAAAGCCACGAGGCGGCCACAAGGTCGAAGGGCGCGCCTAGGGGGTAGGGCGTGCCCCCCACCCTTGTGGGGCCCTCGTGACTCCACCGACCTATTTCTTCCGCCTATATATTCTCAAATATCCCAAACCCTA